GGAATCACATTAGGTGATTAATTACTGAAAAGAATAGAAATTATCGAGTAACTATGTATGTATTATATATTGATTGTGCATATATAGAACAATATGTTACTTAAATGAACAGGATAATAATTTCTGTTATGGACGGACAGAAATATTTGGGAATGAAGAATATAAGTAGAGTCACTCCATTGAATGTTTCCAACAATCTCACAGTAAAACTGTTTGTGGTGTCCAGAAATTTAAAAAAAGGGGGGGTGGGGGGTGGAATCCATCTTCAAAAATGAGGTTCCTGGGTTCTCCACAGATTTGTCCATTGATACATGATTTAGATTGTTTTCTAAATCTGAAGAAAGGGGATTTCCAAACCTTAGATCAACCTCTGGACCTGCCAATGCTGTGTTTTCATTGTTACTGAGTTTGGGTCGTTAAGGGGATTTCCAAATCTCAGATCCACCTCTGGACCTGCCAATGCTGTGTTTTCATTGTTACTGAGTTTGGGTCGTTAAGGGGATTTCGAAACCTCAGATCCACCTCTGGACCTGCCAATGCTGTGTTTTCATTGTTACTGAGTTTGGGTCGTTAAGGGGATTTCCAAACCTCAGATCCACCTCTGGACCTGCCAATGCTGTGTTTTCATTGTTACTGAGTTTGGGTCGTTAAGGGGATTTCCAAACCTCAGATCCACCTCTGGACCTGCCAATGCTGTGTTTTCATTGTTACTGAGTTTGGGTGTTACCTCCACATCCATAGCTTCAACTAATATGAGAGACAGGTTGTTGTATTAATCTTTAAGTTTTAAAAGGAAACTAGATTTGTTATCACACCTTAATTTACAGTCATTGATTAAGTGAGATTTTTCTATAGATCAGCCTATTGATTCTTTTTGTTGACTCATCTCTTTCACCTGTTTGTGTTCATTTAAAAATATTTTGTTAAAAAAAAAATTGAAATCAGTGCTGGTAACATACATCACAGACTGGAATCAAACTTTTATAGACCTACATATGAAATTGAATAATACAATTGCTTTGTCTTGAAGTGTTTTATATTGGGAATAACTGATTCAATTTCCATTGATGTGCAATCTTGGTATTCAGCATATTTAAGTTCAAGACATTTGTACTTGATATTGCTGGTGTTGTTTATATTTTTAGAAAACAGAAACTTAAAATAACTTTTATGTGTTGCAAAATGTTTTGTTTTTTTTACCTTCATTCATACTTTCTTTATGGAATAGTAAGATAAGTGTCATAAAGTTTCACATGGATTGTTCATTTTATGCAATGGAATGCAATCTAGATGAAGTTGACCTATTGATATAGATGTTTGGTTTTATATTTCCACCAAATAAGTAAGTTTTTGTGTATTATGATTTATTGTTAGGCTTTGTTTGTAAATCTGATAAGCACAAAGCAAAATAACTAGTGTTTTGTTTTAAAGTAAAAATTTCAAACATACATGTACAATGTATAATGTGGAACCATATCTTCAACAGGGTCAGTTGAGCATTGGTCCTGAATTGGGACATACTATATTGTTGATTATACTCTTCCCAGGTCTTGTAATTCAGTTATTTGGTTCAATGATTTGGATTTGTTTGGTCCTGCAGGTCCGGATTATAAGTTTCTGAACTATGGGTAATATAGGTTGCATTGTTCATAAATATAAACTTTCCTGTCTCTTCTTGGCATAGTTACAAAAGATTAGTTAAAGCAGATGGCTGGAAATTATTTTTAACAAACAAAAATTTCACATTTTATTAATATTCTTTTGATCATTTATACAGAGATGATATATCATGTATATAAAACACAATGTATTTAAATCATGTTTAGCATAAGATCTTGGCAGATTCATAAAAAATCATAAATCCTGCAGAGATATAAATTATTTGCGAACACATTACACATTTTTGTAAGCTCAGTCACTCTTTATGCTGTGTATGTATTTTTATCAGCGGATTTATCAACACATTGAATAAAGGTAGGGCATGTTACACTTTTTAAAGAACCTTCTATATATTTTTTACAAATCCAATGTTAGCTCAGTCTGTTGACTCTTAAATATAACATTGCCTAGGATTTGCAGACCATTTTGGGGAAGGGGGTAGGGGATTAATACAGAAATCATTTAAAACCCTCCTTTATCCCAAACTATCAAATTCTTTCATTATATAATATTGTAAGAACTTCAAAAGAAAAAAATCAGGGTTTAAGAAATGAAAACCCTCTGAATCCTGTTTATGTGTTCTGGAATAAAGTTTACTGAGAGTATTTATATGAATACACATGAACTTACCTCAAATGTCTTTTACAAAGTATTTAATGTGACTAGAATTTGAGTGATAAGATGTATAAAAAGCAAAACAAGAGAAGTAATGCATTAGGACAGAACAATATATTATTGTCACCATTACCATTTTATACAGAACAATCAGATTTATTCTTATGGTTGTCCTGAAAATGCATGAAATATTTGCAAGTGGACTTTGAGCAAGCACCTATCAATTATCTTATTATTTATGGGAAGCATGACATAATCAAAAGAATTATATTTATCTATCATCTTTCACCTTGTATTGAAAGCTACTTTACTTTGGTAGACCATTGGAAACTTAATGTTGTAAGTAAAAGTAGATGAGAGGTCAGCTGTGGGTTATGATTGATAGCTATCAACATGTTTCTTATCACAATCATTAATGCAGACAGTTCTGCTGTCAGATTTTTTCATCATGAAACAAACTTAAGCAAACTTTTCAATTTTTGTTGATATTTGAAGAACTGGTTTTAAGATACGTTTTAAGGAATTTTCCAGAAATCATTTAAAAAGCCATTGTTACATTTTTTTTACTTAGTTTTTCACAATCAATTTCAGTACTTAAACCATATCATTGGACATTGTAGGAAATAAAATTGGATTGAAATGATGTTGTTTTTATTCAGCTATGATATGGCTTTTCAAACACTTAATATTTCACTGAATCTTAGTAAGATTAATCCACCAACTAATCTCATTAAAATGTTAGCAGTAAATATTGAATAAGTGCAAAGCATTATTAAAGTGTTGAAACATGGTGTTCACTGAAACCAATTTAATTGCTTAAATTTTGTAGATTATATCAAAAGGTTGTATACACGTCATTGGTGTATACTTTAAACACCTACTGAATAAAGGCTTATTTAGAAATATGTATTTTCCGCTGATTCATAAAGGGAGATTGAGGCATTCATTTCAAACTATCAAACAATCTGTATTTTATCATTACATCAGTATATGGGTACTAACCATTGTGGAGGGTATTTTTTGTAGTGAGGTTTTGGGTACAGAACTGAGACATATTGTTTTGTTTGTAAACCTATTCATTGATTCATTCAGAACTTAAACTTGTGTAATGATGACAGCACTTAAAGACAGTCAAGGGAGATCATTTACAGGTCAAGGACTTCTTCAAAAGACAATCTTTATCAGTTAAAAAGTTTTTGAAATGTAGTTTGATTTCAATGTATAAAACTAAACTTGTTTCTAAATCTGCCTGCTAATTTTAGTTTTCTATACTTTGAATGTTTGTTAAAATTTCCCATTTATTATCAGAACAGCAAACAAAGTAAACTGAGGATTAAGTATGATAACAGGCTTTTAACATACAAAACATTGAATTTAAATCAACCTTTACAAGGACAGCATAACATTTGAAGAAACTTTTCCATATAAATATTTACATGTTGCATTAAACAAATAAGTTTTGATATTAATTATAATAGTATATAATGTGAGGATCTGAGTAGGGTTTTACATTCCATCAAATCCATGCAATATCATGTCTGACCGTTAAGGTACCCAAAAGTTTTCTTTTCTATAGTCCAAATTGGAGAACTGTTTAATTAAAATTTTAGACTGTATAAATAAGGAACACTTAAAACAGGACTTTACTTTAAATTTTCTTTTTTTCTCCACAATAAAATGTAGACAGAGAACCCACTTGAGTGAATACAGACAGGAAACTGTAAACTGTGATGTTATTGTCAGTTGACATGCAAAATTAATAAAAACAATCATATACCCTACAGTTATTGCACATTTTCAGTGCAAAACATTTGACACATTTTCCCCTGCAGTGACAAATTGCATTGTATTTATAATTTGACCCGTATGATAAGGTCAAACAGCCTGGAGATAGATCATTACTCATACCAGATGGTAGCTTGTACATGTTGAAAGTAGATGGTTTACTTTCACTTTGTGCAATGTTGTACTTTTAATGAAGATCAGAATGAAAGGTTTGTACCTCATTATACACAAAAGTTTATAGCCTACAATAATACAATATCTGTCCTCTGGTTATTGTTAAAGCTATGTTCCAGTATACTTCATCCAGATGTATTCTTTTCATTGAGTTTTTTAAGGTTATTTCTCAAATCATCAATGGTATGTGACATTGACAATACTTTTACAGATGACAATGGGCCTAAATATTTTCTAATATGCAGATAGACATTAGAGTAATTGAGATGTCTTCCTAATATTCAGTGACATTTGTACCTATCATGTAAATTAATTTACCATGTATGATTGACAAGGGTGGCCTGTCATGTGATATCTATAGTTATCATCTGATTAGATTGTGATTGGTATGTGTTGAATTTCTAAACTTGAAAATTAAAAGTGTGAGTTTAAAAAGGGCAGTTATTTTATGATTGTGATAAAAAAAAGATTGTACTGGTTTCGTGGTTTCAGTAAGTATGTGTGTTGTCTCATCTTTTTTTTTCTGGAAGGTTATTTTTTTCAATGTATAGTTGTATACATTTTGATTTGATTTGAATGAAAAGGTCTAATATTATATGAATAATTTATAAAAGGTAGACCTGTCTGGTTTATTTATGGATTAAAAAATGACAATCTTGTGGTTATGATCAAAGAGTAATAAATGCTCCTTTATTCAACCTTTATCTAGTAAGGTAGTTATATTTATCAAAATGTTATTGTAGATATTTTTTTTCCATATATTTCAGGCAGTGACCCATCAATTCTCAGTGAAGAGAGTAGGGACGTTACCACCCCCAGTAAAGTTGTGTTCAGTAGTACACAGGACAACTTTAAAGACAAGTCTAATGACAGTAAAGTATTAAACAGTCATAAGAAAGATCATTCATTATCAGAATCTGCATTAAATCCAGTTGTTACACCGCTTAGTCACAATGTGGAATATACTGAGATGCCAAAGTTGGCCGATAGTGCTGAAATAGTGTTGCCAGATAATTCAAAAACACCATCATATCTTAAACTTAGTTGTTCAGTTAGTGGATACGGTCGTTACAGTCAATACAGTGCATATAAATCTAAAAAGGACACAAGATCACCGTATTCTAGCACCTCATCTTTAGGTTCAAATCCTATGTCTCCAGAGATGGCTAAGGTTATGTCCCCTGTTCAACGGACGAGTATTAGTAGTAATTCAGAATTTGGATTAATACGTCCTCAACCTCTAGTGTATAATAGAGCCAATAGAAATGTAACTAACAGTGTTAATTCTAGTTTAATAAATGGACATTCTGTGTTGGATGGTACACAATACCCAACAGGAGACCCCAAGTTGGTAAGTTTAATTATTTATGGTGTACATTTTGAGCAAGTCTTCATTTGTAAATTTAGTTTCAATTTTTTGACTGCAGGCAGTTATATAAGTACTCAAGATGTTCTAAATTACCATCTGTTGTAATGGATTTTTATCTCAAATCAACTAAAAGAGAGACAAATATTTTAAAGTCGCAAAAGAAAAAAAATCCTGCATAAAGAATCAAGAAATAACTCAAATAATTAAGTAAGAGATATACTGGAGGTTAATCTTTGTAAGTATTGGTCATTAAGTTCAATTGTTGGAATTAATTTTCAGATAAACATATGGATGCTTTTAAAAACCAAAAATTTGAACATGTTGAATGTCATGATATAAGAATCATGCAGATTGCATTCTCCATTTTGGTCACTAGTATATTTTATACAAATTTGTATTCAAAGCATATGTCAGATTAGGGTTTCCCTACATGCCCTCAATTTGAGCTTAAAAAGTAACTACCTTACAGTTTGTATTTTTATACGACCGCAAAAATTTGCGGTCGTATATTGGTATGACGTTGGCGTCGTCGTTGTCTGAAGACACATTGGTTTTCGCACAATTACTTTAGTTTTAGTAAATGGATCTCTATGAAATTTTACCATAAGGTTTAATACTACAAAAGGAAGGTTGTGATTGATTTTGAGGGTTATGGTACCAACAGTTAAGGAATTAGGGGCCAAAAATAAGCATTTTTGTAACTTCCAGACAATAACTTGTGTGTTAGTGTATGGATCTCTCTGACATTGTACCACAAGGTTCCATATCACAAAGGGAATGCTGGGATTGATTTTGGGGGTAATTGCCTCAAAATTTTAGGAATTAGGGGCCAAAAAAGGGGCAAAAAAAACAAGCATTTTTCTAGTTTCATGACAATAACTTGTGTGTAAGTGTATGGATCTCTCTGAAATTGTACTGCAAGGTACAATACCACTAAGGGAATGCTGGGATTGATTTTGGGTGTAATTGCCTCAAAATATTAGGAATTAGGGTCCAAAAAGGGGCAAAAAACAAGCCTTTTTCTAGTTTCATGACAATAACTTGTGTGTAAGTGTATGGATCTTTATGAAATTGTACTACAAGGTTCCTTATCAGAAAGGGAAAGCTGGGTTTGAGTTTGGGGGTAATTGTCATAAACGTTTAGGAATTTGGGGCCAAAAAAACAAGCAATTTTACAGTTTCCAGACAATAACTTGTGTTCAAGTGTATGGATCTCTCTGAAATTGTACTGCAAGGTACCATACCACAAAGGGAAGGCTGGGATTGAGTTTGGGGGTGATGAATCATAAGGGGGTTCAAAAAATTGGGGTGGGGGGATTTTTTTTCCTTTTTTTTTCATTTTAAGTTGGTTATTTTTTATTTATATATAAAAGCAAATAATAATGATATGGTTTGATTTCATCAAAAATTGAAAAATTGGGGTTCTTTGATATGCTGAATTTAACCGTGTATTTAGATTCTTAATTTTTGGTCCCATTTTCAAATTGGTCTACATTAAGGTCCAAGGGGTCCAAAATTAAACTGAGTTTGATTTTAACTAAATTTGAATTCTTGGGGTTCTTTGATATGCTGAATCTAACCATGTATGTATTTAGATTTTGGATATTGGACCATAATAGGTAAATTAAAAAAATTTAAGTTCTAAGACCACATTCATTCTGTGTCATTCAGAAACCTATGCTGTGTCAAATATTTAATCACAATCCCAATTTAGAGCTGTATCAAGCTTGAATGTTGTGTCCATACTTGCCCCAACTGTTCAGGGTTCGACCTCTGCGGTCGTATCAAGCAACACCCAGCGGAGCATTTTATTAGATTTGTACTCCAAGACACCAGATAAACTATCCTTACCTACATGTAACAACCTAAATTATATTTAAATGAAATACAACATACAAATGTTACAGTCACATAGTTTATTTCAGATTGCCCTTATTGTAATATATACATACATTGTACATGTTGTACATACATTCATCACCTTTCTTTGTTAGTAAGATATTATTTATTTGTCAAGAAATGAACCTAGAGATATACACATGATGCACAAGGAACTTCTTTGTATCATGATTCAATTGAAGATTTAGGTTACCTCCCATGACAAACTAACAATATGTTTGGTCATACTGTAACGGATTGTTACATGAACATTGAAGCATGTTATCATTAGTAAATTGTGAAAACTCATTTATTATAATACATGTATGGTCATGATGGTTAAATTAAAAACTAAAATAGCAGATATAAGCTCTTAAATACCTCATGAATTTGTATTTAATTAATGCATTCCACCAGTTTTTAGGTACAAAAACAGAATTTCAATTCAGGCCATGAGCCAAAACCAACCCTGTTCAAGCACTGTACTTAAGAGATTTTGTATGTTTTGCAGGATGGAGAATATTATTTAAATGTAACAAAGACAGAAGCGGTTCATCTTGTGTCACTGTGTCGGCAAATAGAAGCTGATTTATACTGCCAAGATATCCCTGAAGATGGTATGTAATATTGGAGAAAGATTGAAAATATTTGAATTCAGATTATTAGGAGACACTGTGGTAGATGTTGCAAATCCCATGTTTTGCTATTCGAAACCAAACAATTCTTTTAAAATTGTACAACTTTTTATACTTGTTACTTGATACTGATAGTAATTATTTGACTGCATATCTAGAATGAACGAAGGACAATTGGACGATTTACAAATAAAACATGTCAAACTAGTTACATAACATAAAACCATGATTTTACTGTTTTTACATGATATACTGGGGAGGTGTACTTTTTATGTCTGTTTTGTTTTGTGTATTAATCTGATTACTGACAGGAAGGAGGTTTGGACTTAAATTTATGTGTATGACCACCCTGAAGGAAAATAAGAATAGTTTTCAAAACAACCAGTTCAGAAAAAAAAGTTTTATTTTGTCATGTCAAACACGTCTTCTTAACTTACATGACTTACACCAAGATGTCATTAATTGTAATTGGATATTCTGCATTTATCATGCTTTTCCAGAAAAACGTAAGGTCAAATTGCTGAAATACCCCCTCCTAAATTGTTGAAATCAATCCTTCTGCAATATAGTGGTAATATCTTTGTGTAAATTAGATGCACCGATTGAATCCACCTAACTCTCTCATGGGTGTATCTAATACATATATATCTAAATAGTAGTTACATATATACCTAATAGTAGTTTCCTTTGAGCGTCATATTGATTTTTTTTCAACTTCATGTTTGAAATTACATTGTTTTTGTCCTAGTCAATTACAGCAGCATTCCAATAGTATTTGTTTGGTCCTAATTGATTTCAATGATGAGTAGCTCCAACTATCAGATTCTGGTTGATCAAGCATTATTTGGTTTGCATTCAATTAAGTAACTAAAAACAAAATTAGGTTACAGTTGAGAGGAAGCATGTTAATTTAAGATTTTATAATATAATTTAAACAATCAGACAAATTTCTGCTGGTTGTCTTTCTATCATCTGTTTTCTTTGATGCTGTTTAACATAATGAGTTCAATATTGATTGTTGGTATCACTGCTAGTGGGATAAAAAGGTCAAGGTAAATCAATGGAAAAGGGGTCACTGGGTTAGAAATAGAGGAATAAGACCTTTGCAAAATGCCAACAATAGCCAGTTAGGGTAAAGCATCTTTTTTTAATAATAAAACTTCCTCCCAGATTTGATAATACCTGTAACATTCAAATTCTTAAGGTCTTCAAGTAAAATTACTGTAGGAATTCCTATTATATATTTTTAGAGGATGAAACTTTGCAAGGTTAGTAAATGAAAAAGGTGTTATCTTAAAAACACAGATCAGATATCATATACTGATATTGGTTAAAACTTAGTAACACAATTATCAGGAAGGATTTATTGTGGAAGTATGATACCACCTTCAGGAATTTGATTAAAGTGATATTTACATACCTAGCTTTAAAGCAATATGAATTAGAACTGTCATTTCAATCTTTTCTGGGACTATTAAACAGAAGTACAACATCTGTTGTTGACATGATTTTAGAGTGTAAGACCATAAAGACCTCATTATTTTCCTTAGATGTAAGGGCTTTGCAGTTTACACTTCTTGCATTATCTACTATGGCTTGATTTAGTATTGCTTTACTGGTAAATAGTTGCCTCATTCGAAATCATACCACTGCTCTTTATAAGTCCCCTACCGACGAAGTCGAAGGGGACTTTAGGTTTGCACTCTGTCCGTCTGTCTGTCCGTCCGTCCGTCTGTCCATCCGTCAGTCCGGCAACTCAGCTTTCCACACTTTTTTTCTTCTTCTTGAAGATATTGATTTGATATTTGGTATATAGTTTTATCATGACAAGTTATAGATCAAGTTCGAATTTTGTTCCGGTTTGTTGATTTAGTCCAGAGTTATGGTCCATGAAAAACTCCATAACTAAGAGTACTATGTTAAACCATATAATCTGTACAAAGGGAGATAACTCATTTTTTAAAAGACATTCTTTGGTAAATTGTTTGAGGAATTTTGTGGCAGGTTTATTTGTTATTTTGTATAAACTAATTTTTTGAATGCTACATGTATATACATATATATTTTTTTATTAAGTGAAATCCTTTAATTAGATAATAATCTATTTTTATTAAGGTATATATTTCATTACATTACATTGTGTAGATAAAAGTTGTTGACATTTTATGGGTAAGTTACAAATCTATATTAGTTTGTGACAAATGAAAGAAAAAATATTTGGAACTATTAATTATATTTGATTGTAATTTGAAAATAGATATACATTGTATTACATCATATCTAATGTTAGAGTGTTATAGGTTTTCCACACTTTTTTTCATCATGCTTGAAGATATTGATTGACAATTGGTAAATAGTTTTATCATGACAAGTTACAGATCAAGTTCACATTTTTGTTTCGGTCTGATAATTTTATGGTTATGGTCCTTGGACTTGATATACACTCATATATTCAGTTTTCCACACTGTTTTAAGTCATGCTTGAAGATATTGACTTGTTTTTATATCATATATATTATATGATACTTTTTAGTTTTTGAAGACCCTAGTGGTCTTTTTGTTTTTCAGTTTTGGAGGGATGCTGTCGTATTGACATATACCCTCAAATCTCCTTTTATTCTTTTTGTTTAATTTAAATTCAAAGTAACTATAGAAATAATATTTGTTTATACTCAGCGTGTTTTGTCTTTCAGCAAGTGGAAAAATACGGGCAGCAATTGGAAAAGCCAATTTACTGGTCAACCAAAAATTTAAACAGTTTGAAGAGCTATGTTATGAACATATGGTAAGATTGATTTAAAACATATCTTATTGGAACTGACACAGTATAAATATATGCTCTTTCAGTTGCTATGAAAATATAAAATGGATACTGAATAATATTTATATCATACATGTTATAAATGCCTATCACTGATAGATGTACTGTTTTATTCTAACCACCTTAATAATCATAATACTAAACAAAAATTAAACAGTGCATTCATATTGATGTCCTCTATGTGGTTTGTTCAAGAAATGTAGATTTCTATGAAAAAAAGAAAACAACAGGGAACTAAAATCAAAACATTTTCACATCAATATTAGGTTTTCGGATAAAAACAATACATGTCCAAAATTATCAAAATATCAAATTCAACTGAAGCCCCTGAATTACAATTTTCCTCCAGATGCAAAACAAACTCGAAATTTTAATCAAATTTTGATAACTGTAAAGACTACTTGTACTTTTGGGTAATCATATGGACTAAAATACTGGAATGGTCTGTACTTATCACTTAGGGCTATTTTGATTTTATAAACATTTATGTTGCCATCTACCTAAGTAATTATTGCACACATAAACACACACACACACACATATATTTACATAAATTATTTAAACAAAACTTGGAAAAAAACTCAAAAATCAGAAATGAGCTCTCATTGTGAGAGTAGCATACTTTTATTGTCGAATGTATAAAATTTCTCAAAATTCAGTTCATTTTACTTCATTAAACACATTAAGCAGTCAGGGGACTTATTGAAATAAGTGATTTTTAAATCACTTATTTAAGTAGCAAATTCGAAGTTTTGTCACAAATTGTGATTTTGTAGTTTTACCAAAATTTTAAACTCATAGGTTTAGATAATATCTTTTCATTAGTAAAATTGAAAAAAATGAACTTTTTGCTTCTTTTAAGCAGCAAGGTTTATGCCTTTGATGCAATCATATAGCTGCAAATTCTATTTTAGTTGAAAAAATGCTATAAAAATGGCTTTACATAATGAACTGATACTTTCTTAACAGATTTTTCCCAGCAGTGGGAGTATTTTTCCTGTAAAATTCAAGGTTTCATCTTATAGATTATTTTACTGTTCAGGGGGGGGGGGGGGGGGTGTTGAAATTAGTGGGGGTTACTAAAATAATGATACTTAAAGAAGTGATTTTTTGGAAGGAAATTGAGGTATGATACTTAAACAAGTGATTTTTATGTCATTATCCTAGATTTAGTACAAGGTTATCACCTGACATGACCCGGTCATCCTATCAACACAGATGTTGGTTCTGATAATTTTAGCAACATAATTAGTCCCTGGATCATTAGTATTCTATATTTAAAGCTACAATAAAATTAAATCACTTAGTCTAGTGATTAATTTGTACTACTTAACTAGGTGATTATTAAAGAAAGACAACTCTTACTTCCAACCTTTATGGACATAATGTTACTTGAATCAGTGATTTAGCCATCCAGTCAAAACATACAAACATACATCAATTTACAAAATAAGAAGTATAATGTTGATATAAAGCATTATAAATATCCATTACTCTTCACATGAAAACAAAAGATTGCCTAATACATGGTGGGTGGGGGATGATCTTTATACATGCAAGCAGTTGTACATAATATACTACTCAGCGTACGGCAGAACTTCGAATAATTACTTTTAAAATTTGATTTGATTCATATGAAACAGCAAGCAGAAGAAAAACATGCCAAATTGTACCATACCTAGAATACCTGTATAATTTGGAGAATTATATCTGCAATGCAACAAATTACATCCAATGAAAACCATTATAGACATTACAGGTATTCTAAAACACGTATAGATGTGAACAAACACGTTTTCTATCAAAACAAATACATGTGCTTCTGTACTATTAACAAATATGTATATGTATCAATCAGTATTTTTTGTATGGTAATTATTTACTTTCAGAACCCATCTGTAGATGGAAAACTGTTGAAATGGGAGGACCTGCAGGGATTCTGGGATATGATCAAAATACAAGTAGATAATGTAGAGGAAATGTTTACAGAGTTAGAATTAATACGACAGAATGGATGGAAAGAACTTTGTATGCATGTAAGTGTAATAAGGAAACTGTAGATAAGGCTTTATTATTATACTCCCACTCTAATATTGCATTCAACTTGTGCGTTCCTACTTTCTTTTGTTCTTTCATTTGTCTGTCTATCAAACAAATATTTCCATCACACTTTCCTTAAGTACCTCAGGAACTACTGAACAAAATGTCCTATATTTGGTCAGCAGTTTGACAGTCATAAGCTGTAACCTGTGAGCACTTTTTGAATCTATCAAAGTTCAAACACACATTTCCCTTTTGCCAATACTTTGAATTCTTCAATATGTTCAACAAACTTAAGTTTTTTGTCTTACATTTCTTCAATACTACTGAACAGAAAGACTACATATTTGGTCAGCAGCTTAGCAGGGATGAGTTATAGTGTATGAGTAATTTTTGGATCTGAAGGACATACTTTCTCATACTTTGAATTACTTGTACATGACAACATGTGCATTCTTGTTTCATTTAGTCTTGTTTAGACACTAATTTTCATATCAATCTTGAATTTATATTTATTTTTATTGTTTTGTTCACTAAAATTTACCACATTTTGAAAATAGAAATTCAGTTTTTCACTGAACTGGTGGAATTTATAAAAAGTTGTATCATGGTCGTTCATTGAATTAATTGATGAAACTATAGCTGTTTCTATAGATAAGGAAAAGGAAGTTTGCAAATCAACAAATGAATAACTTCAACTTAAATATTGGAAACATTAATTTCATTATGTTATTCAATATAGCTTTTTGTCTGATTGATAATGTTAACAAACTTGTTAAGCGACATTGGCAAGAAGAAAAAACTTGAATATAAAACGTCACAGAACTTATATGAATACATCAACAAAAATAAAAAAAGTGTGAAAAATAAAAACACCAAAAAAATATGCTTTAGGTGAGCTAAACACAAAAAGTATACATGAAAATAATTACAGTATTCTCATCTCTGTTAAGTTATGAGAATTGTCAATTGGTTTTACAATAAGAGCTTTAAGAAGGTTTGAAAATCTTTGAAGGTATATGTTTCAGTTATGACTTTTTATGACTATAAAAGTGTGTAATAAAAGTTGGTACTAAAAGACTTTACACTGTTATAGTTTTTGAACAATCATGTTAAAGATTTGAAAGTCAAATGCAATGTAATGACCTTTTATATATATGGATAGTTGTCTCATTGGCAATCATACCACATCTCCTTATTTTTAATAAAGACTTATCTATAATTTTCTTTTTCAGTCTAGAGAAAGTTCTGTCAGTTCTAGTCCAAAATCAGGAAGTGTTAATTTAAGTAACGCCAGTACACCAGCAGGTACCCCCGGTAAGTCTTACTTCTTTACCAAATGAGAAATCTAAGTAATGCCAGTACACCAGCAGGTACCCCCGGTAAGTCTTACTTCTTTACCAAATGAGAAATCTAAGTAATGCCAGTACACCAGCAGGTACCCCCGGTAAGTCTTATTTCTTTACCAAATGAGAAATCTAAGTAATGCCAGTACACCAGCAGGTACCCCCGGTAAGTCTTACTTCTTTACCAAATGAGAAATCTAAGTAATGCCAGTACACCAGCAGGTACACCCTGTCTGTCTTACCTCTTTACCTAATGAGAAACTTAAATAAATGCCAGTACACCAAAAGTAACATCTTTTAGTATTTCCTCTATTTCATGAGAAATTTAAGCAGTATGAGTACACCAACTGGTACACCCATTTTAAAAGTCGGCCTCTTTACATCATGGTTGATTTAAGAAATGCCAGAATACAAGCAAGTAATTCCTGATTATCAGCAGGTTCACAATGAAAGTCACACAAATTTATCTGATGGTTAATTTAAACCAAGTTTAAGTAAGTTTTGAAATTTTTTTCCAATTACATATTGGTAGAGAATGAAAGTTAATTAGTTAGAAAAAAAAATGTACTTGGATGACATGATAAAATCTTCATTTTTAGAAATTTTTATGTCAATCACACATAAGGTTGTTGTTTTTTAGAAATTGTTATGTCAATCACACATAAGGTTGTTGTTTTTGTCTCGCCTTGACGGAGTCAAAAAGCGAGATAGGTATGCTGTTTCCAGAGTCGGCATCAACAATGTATTAGTTTGTGATTAGGTCTAGTTCATGGTGAACCACTAGTGGTAGGTCAATGATATTTGGTATGCAGTTGTATTAGCATTGGCACATCTCATTACCATGGAGATTATTTGGCCCTGCCCCCTCAGTCAAGGTCTATTGACTTTTAAACTTTTCATAGTTCACATGTATTAGTTTGTGATTAGGTCAATTTATGGGGAACCACTAGTGGTAGGTCAATGATATTTTGTATGCAGTTGTATAAGCATTGGCATATCTCATTTCCATGGAGATTATTTGGCTCCGCCCCCTTAGTCATGGTCTATAGACTTTGAAAATTTTGCTAAGTTAACATGTATTAGTTTGTGATTAGGTCAGTTCAAGGGGAACCATTAGTGGTAGGCCACTATTAATTGGTGTTCAGTTGTATAAGCATTAGCAAATCTCATTTCCATGGAGAATATTTGGCCCCGCCCCCTCAGTCATGGTCTATTTACTTTGAAACTTTTGCTTACTTTACATGTATTAGTTTGTGATTAGATCAGTTTAAGATGAACTGCTAATGTTAAGTCAATGATATTTGGTATGCAAATTTATTGGCATTTGCAAGTATCGTTTCCATGGAGATTGTATAGCCCCACCCCTGATCATGGTTCATTGACTTTGAAACTTTTACATAGTTTACAAGTTAATGTTTGTGTTTAGGTTTGTTTAAAGGGAACGACTTATAATAAGTCAATGGTATTTGGTATGCAGTTGTATTAGCATTGGCACATCTCATTCCATGGAGATTGTTTAGCCATGTACCTTCAGTCATGGTTCATCGACTTTGAATATTTGCATAACTTACATGTTAAATTATTGCTATTTTAATTTCAACATTTGCATTATCAAAATTACAAAAAGGCGAGACATATCTCTGTGATAACAGTTTATTTAGAAATTGTTATGTCAATCACACATAAGGTTGTCGTTTTTTAGAAATTGTTATGTCAATCACACATAAGATTGTTGTTCATATATGTTGCACAAATATGAACCATCATGTATATTAGTAAGTAGGATTAAATGACATCAAAAGATCTGTAAGTAGGATTTTTATTCAGAAAAAAAAACACCAAAAAAAACAACAAAATTGGTCATTTATATTTTGGAGCAAGCAACCCAGTCTTTTTCCTTTTTATTGATAGACTAAGAGAAGATAATTCATAAAAATAGTTAAACAGTGTGTTGTAAGGGAGATCAACACTGTATCTCTCAATTTTTGTCAAATTAATATATGTTAATTGTTTTGTACATTTAGGTTCCCGAAGACGAGTATCAAAAACAAAAGAAACACCAGAATCATCCCCAGAAAGAACAGAGAGGTTGAAACTTGCCAAAGCTCGTGATGATGCTAGGAAAAAAATGATGGCAGAAAAACGTGCTGCAATGAAGAAAAAGCAGCAAAACAATTCAGATGATGTTGAAATATATATAGCAGACAAGTGAATCTATAACATTAGTGCTAATAACATATTTATAAGAATTGTTTTAACTACACAAGAAATTCAAAGTTGTGATATTTTTCAGCAGTTGCTGTTTGTGCATTTATTTAATTGTTTATTTTATGTAACATTCTAGACCAGTATCTGCCATGGATCTTAGCCTTGTCATAACTTTGTTTGTTTTTGGTTTTTTAATTGAAAACATGTTTTAAAAATTATTTCAAAGCATTAATGATATTAACTTACAAAATGCTATACAGAAATTATAATCTTAGGTAAAGAAAATTATTTTGTTCAGTCCAGCTTCACAAGACAAGGCTATGAAATATTGTTTTTTTGGAATTCAGTACTGTTTATGTTACCAGAAAAACAGGTTTAGAAAGAAAAACTTTCATTTCATTTCATTTTAAGTCACTGTTGTGCCTTTTCATCTTGCATTGAAATTCATTTTAAGTTATTCCATTTTTATGAGTACAATATGAAATATTGAGTTTTATGGTAAAAATAAAAGTTACATTTTAGTATTCTGTAAGTTTTCAGTTATTTGTTGTGTTTAAATGGATTGAGAAGGAGGATTAGTAATTGTTTTGAGAACTAGTCAAAGCTATTTGCTTTCTAATGCTTTATCAGTTTATACCTCATGCTATTGAGCTTAATCAATATTATTGTTCTGTTTTTAATGGATTTCATAGCCATTATTCTGTTATTGCATACCATTTTAAATAAAATATCAATCTGCTGCATTCCAGATTTTATTCTGATGTTCATTTCAATTTTTGAATATAAAATTGGGATCAAATTTTCTTGTCATGTTCATATGTAATCACTCCATTTCTGAATTGAATACATATATCAACAGTTATCTATATTTGTCATATGTCTTTATATTTTATAGACTAGAAACAAACTCTTTTCCCCTCATTCCTAAAGGAGTATGAACACTACTAACATATTTGTTAGTGTCTTCTCCTGAAATTGAGTGTCAGGTTTATAAGGAATAGGGAGTTAAAAACTGGTCGACTTGTCAACTCATTCTCGGTGAATTATTTTTTAACGAAAAGAAAATAAAAAACAGGTACAACTATCCTTTTCATTCCAGAGTAAATTATTGGGCTGTCTCCCTATTGCTCTTATTTTGCAACTTTCGCTGAAAAGGATTGTGTTACGATTGAATCTGTCTGAATAAATCCTGCACTGAAATGACTTAAGAAAAGTCCTGTTAACAAACCCTCTGAAATATTAGAGAGGTAAATCAGCTGGGTGAAACCCATGTATTTAGCTTTGTTCCTAATAAATCATACAGCAGGTGTGGTATGGGAACCACTAAGATTTTAGGCTTACTATGCTATGGAGAAGTATATTATTTTCCATTAGACAAAGATCTACTAAACTAGTACAGTTGTTATATTTTAAATTACTCAGAACTGAAAGAATAGCTTATTCAAAGGAGGAAAAATTCACAGAAAAAGAATTATGAATTTTCATTAATACAGACTGAAAATTTATTTCAATAGGAACACATGTTTGCCAAATTGGTTTGTTTGATTTAAACTACTAGTCAAATTTGAAATCTGCCCCAAATTAGTAAATTAGAAAAAGGCAAATTACTACTCTGTAGATTTGATTATTTCACAAATAATTATCAAAATCAGCAACTTGAAACCATGAGATATACTTGTTTTAGGTAAGCATTTGAATATCCTTAAGACCTTAATTTGTAAGGTACAATCTGAAATATAAAACAAGGTTTTTTGTTGTTGTGCCATATGATTTATTTGCCAGTAATAAAACAATTTGATGAAAAGGCTTTAAACAGGAATGTGACATGAAATCTTCAGCTCAAAGATTAACTGTACATTGTTAATTTATGGGACTTTTTATTTTTCAGAAAATAAAAGTTGTAGACTTTTTTTAAAGTGTTATGTTTTAAGTTGTCTCATTGATTGAATGGTCTTTCTAAGCAGTGATATTAATGTGTGATTATTATGTCAAACCAAATGTTGTTGATGTTGTTACCATTGTGCCAGTATATTTTATTCTACACAAAATAATATGTCTTGATGTGCATTTGTTAACATATTTTTCCACATAAGGCTGAATAATATTGAATTACTTGTACAGCTTAAACAAAAAATTATAGAAATTATATGTCAAAAATTTGGCTTGCAGGGAAAAAAAATTAATAAAAACTTTCCCCTATTTCTTCTTCAAAAAAATAAGAAACGGAGGTTATTTTTATCAATTTTTAAGCCTATAACAAGAAGTAATTGGATCGAAAATAATTTAGTTACTTTTAAGTTAACATATTGATACTTTCTAATCAGGATATATTTTGGTAAAAATGAATACACATTTTGGTCATATGGAATGGTAAATACTATATCTTAAAATCTTTGTTGCTTTTTGTTGTGCTGATAGATATTACTGCAGTTAGTTTATATTTCAGTATTTTTATGGCTAATTCCACCTTTCAGAGGTCTTATTGAACTTGAAAATCACACAAAGTTACATACACTAATTTGATATTGATGAACAACAAAAATAATTTTTCATTTATTTAAGTGGCGAAATGGGACCAAAATGAACTTATTCCTTTTGTCACATATACAGACCCTTGTCTTTTTTTCAATATTTTCAAATCCCAGAACTTTTATTGAATATTTATGCTATTAAATGAATCTCATCAGTGTTCATTGTATCATTACTTAATTTATTCGTCAAAAATGTGATCTTGCATTATTGTTGCAATATTTTTCATTGACTTTTTTGTGTTTATTTAGTCATAATCAATGCTATATTATACATGTTTTTGGGACTAATGCTTGATACATAGCATGTAAGTAATAAGCCTTACCAATTGATTTGGTTGTTTGATATAAAGAGTTTTATACAACGTTTGGGAAATCTGTTTTTCCTTGAAGAAGTATTTGTTTACCTAATTATTTGAACAAGGATTATCATTGGTCCACCACCTGACACAATTTCAGGGATACCAGTACATGCCATTTTAGAACACCCTTTTTAATTTGTATAAGTGACACTAGTACTTTCCTTGGGCTGCAAATAATTTAGAAAAATTATATTTGACATGGATTCAAATCTAGATGAATGAGTATGTTAGCTTTTCATTAAAAAATAAGTCTTATCATTTAGTTTGATTAAGGACAAAAGAAGTCACACTTATTATAAGTTACAGAACCTCATTGATCTGTAAGCAGGACCATGGCTTTACATCTTTGTAGTGCTGGATTTTATTTAGAAAACGTGTTCTTAAAATTGTACCACCCTCTTTTTAATTTGACAGGCATATACTTTCTGATAGTACATTTGTTAACAAAGTTTGAAGTGAACAAAATTTTGATTTTGTTTTTCGTAATTTGTAAACACTTTGAGAAATAAAGATTTCCTGTCATAGTCAGGTAGTTAAAATAGTTAATGATGTCCCAATCCAACTTGCTGACCTGCAAGTTCTTGCACAAAATGTGCTTTTCATGGGTAGGTAAAATCATCCTTATTTAAACCCCTGACACATTATTCATAACTGAATAAATGTAGAACTATAATGACCTTTTCATATATATGAAACAAAGTGTTTCCACATACCATTAGGACATAATTCATCCTTTGTGCAAATTGTACAATGTGAATATTTCGTACAGTGTACAACCATACCAACTTGTTAAAACATAGATTGTACATTGTGAGTGTATTTATATTCTGTTATGATCTAAGTTTCATAAATTATGAAAAAAAATATATTGTGCCTGTTAAAGAACAAAAATAAAAAGATGCTATTTAAAACTTCGTCTGTCTTTTCTTTAAAATGAGTATGATATTCTGAACTTGCAAATTGACAAAATTTGAACACTTCATTTAGTTTTCAAGTAAAGAAGGTCTAACTGGCAAACATTTTATAATTGATTGATCTGTTAAATGTGGATTAAAAAAGATTGGTTAGTCATACATGAAACAAAGTGTACATAGTATATAACATGCATAAGTCCTGCAGGTGTCTGTTCAATATGGTAAGCTCTGAATTTCCCTTTGAAAGCTCATTATTTGTGGTCAAACATTTAGCTGTTGTGCTATTTATGAACAAACATTAAGAAGGGGGTGATAATCAGGTATTGGGTTATTACCATAATTCTTAGTTTTAGTCAACACTTCTATATTATAGGCTATGTCAACAGAACAAGTGAATATGTATATGTAGTGCAGCCTATATATGCCCTCTAGATGTATTGCTTATTTGCGTCGTTATGTTGCTGTCTCATTTAGATAATAAACCCAATGTAGCCTTAAATTGATGCTCTGGAATTGGGTTGTACAAGCCATGTTCTCTACTCTAAATGCTTTTTGAGGCAGAAAAATATGTTGAAACATAACGTGAACTAGTTTTAGCAAGAAATGTACTAAAATTCAATACGCTTTTCTATTTTTATATGACCGCAAAAAATTTGCGTTCTTATATTGCTATCATGTCGTCGTCGTCCGTAGACATTTGGTTTCCAGACAATAACTTTAGTTTAAGTGAATGGATCTCTATGAAATTTGACCACAAGATTCAATAGCACAAAAGGAAGGTTGGGATTGATTTTGGGGGTTATGGCCCAAACTGTTCAGGAATTAGGGGCAAAAAAGGGGAGGGGGGGGGGGGGGGGGAAACAAGGTTTTTCTGGTTAATGGACAATTACTTAAGTATTAGTCTTTGGATCTCTATGAAATTGAAACACAAGGTTCCATACCACAAAGAGAAGGTTGGGTTTGACTTTGGGGGTTATGGCGTTAATCGTTAGGGGCCAAAAATAAGACTTTTCTAATACTGGCTAAGCTGGTTCTAACATAAATTATTTCTGATCTATACAAAGAAACAACAAATACTGATATGGCAGGCAGAGACGGATTTAGAGGGGGGCCCAGGGGGCCTGGGCCCCTCTTTTCTGGGAAAAATTTGGTTGATTATATAGAGAATCACTGAAGCATGACCGGAGCGGGCCCCCTCTTATGCAGTCAGTGGGCCCCTACTTATGAAAATTTCTTGATCCGCTACTGGCAGGAGATACACACCAAACAGGGTGTGTAAATTATTATATTTAGTTTGTAAACAGATTTACTAAGTATTGCGCAACAGCAAAGTATTGCACAACAGCAAGAAATCTTCAATTGAAAATAAATACAAATCTTTTAACCAATTTCAATGAGGATTAATTTAAAGTCTTGAATTGTTTGAGGTTTTTACCATTTATTACTATATTGGATATTTGGACATTTTTAAATAGGTCTACAATGAAGTCCAAAGGGACCAAAATTAGACTGTTTGATTTAATCAAAAACTGAATTCTTGTGGTTCTATGATATGCTGAATCTAACTGTGCATTCAGATTTTTAATTTTGGGCCCTGTTTTCAAATTAGTCCATATTAAGGTCCAAAGGGTCCAAAATTAAACTTTGTTTGAATTCATGTTTTTTTTATATGCTGAATCTAACCATGGAATTAGATTTTGGATATTGGACCATTCAGTAGATTAAATGTCCCATTTAAAAATTTTAAGTTATCTGACCAGATTTATTCTGTGTCAGATATCTGTCATGTGTCAAATATTTAATCACTATCCAAATTCAGAGCTGTATCAAGCTTCAATATTGTGTCCATATTTGCCCCAACTGTTCTGAGTTCGACCTCTGCGGTCGTATCCAGGCGGAGAGCATTTTTATTTGTAGACCCCAGTATATAAGGGTCCCCTTAAGCCTTGGAAAGAGAACAGGATGTCACCCTTTGAATTCCTCAGAATCACAGTTAGCTTAGACTTGCTACAACTCTTTTGTTTCTTCTTACTAATTTATATGCCTACTGAAAACTGTCATGATACTGAATGTGCTTCCTCTGCAGGTGTCAATATAATGGCAATCTCTTAGTTGTAGCTGTAAAATTGAAAAGAAAAAAAATTAGGAAGGGGCTTGTAGCAAGTCTACCCTTATCTTTATGGTCACTAAAAAACGTAGTGCATATAGTTGCTGCTTTGTCCTTCTGTTCATTCTTCAGTCTGCTAAAAACAAACAGGTTCTTGATAAAAAAAAAAAGGGTTTCTGTATAATGGTGTTACAAATGAATATAGTATTTACTGTAAAGTGCAGTTCAAATTACCTTATGTAAGCATTTAAAGGAGTATAAGCAATGGCTTGCAGATGATGTCTTTAACTTGCTCTGAAAGCACAGTCTAGACCAGTCTAGTTGCTTCTTATACGCTAGTCAAGTTATACGAAATGAAGAGAGTGTAATAATTGTTTTATTCTACAATAAATATTCCTCGATGTTTTTTGTTGGTTTTTTTTGGGGGTAGGGGGTAGGAGAATCTTTTGGAATATGCTAAGATAGTAATTGATACCCTTGGTTTATATCAAAATCATGGTTCAGTCATGATGATCATGTTACAATGGGATTAATGCCAAAATAATTGGTGATGGGACTTCGTATCAGCTAGGCTACATATATTAAAATTGCCTGGTTGAAATAAGTAAAATGAATGAATGCTACTGTAAATACTGAGTCCACAAGAGTGTCAGCTATGGTCGACAATGATGACTTCCTCCATTGCAAAGGCATACCAAAAGACGAAATACTAAATGAAAAATTTCAATACGTCTATACAGCAATGGGTCACGACAACTGTCTAGACAAAGTAAATAGCACGTACCCAACTATGGAAAAGTTAAAGAAACATACAAATAGACTATTGAAAGCCACAGGACCAAATAACATCACAACGTTCATTTTGCTCTCAGCCTCATACAAAAGGGCATCTATATTTGCACATCTTTACCATTTTTTTAGATTGCGAAGAACTACTCCAGACTTGCAAGAAGCGTTAATTTAACACTCTGCAAGAATAGAGAAAGGCATAATGCTTCAAGCTATCGACCAGTTTCTTAAACACCAATAACTCGTAAGATAATAGAACATATCATCTACAGCTCCGTAATAAATTTCTGTAAAAGATCAAAATCCGTCTTCAACCAGTATGGCTTTAGATTACATAGATCATTCGAAACTTAGCTGTATTACTAGGCATTACTAATAATATACGCACAGGTAGGGACCAAGTGGACATGTTACGTTTAGACTTTGACAAAGCTTTTGACAAAGTGCCACACACAAAGTAACTCCATAACCTTGACCACTTCTGGGTTAAGAATGAACACCTTAATTGGATTAAGTCCTTCCTCGAATACAGAAAAAAATAAAATAACAAAATTACCGAACACCAAGCGAAACGTACTAAGACAACTGTAAAGCATCACTATTAAATGTAGTATCTGGAGTACCACAAGCAATATTCTATGGCCTTTTCTGTTCTTAGTATTCATAAACGACGTCCCTGAAGCTGTGAAAAAAACCGACTCTCCATGCTAGATCATGCTATACTAGATCCAGCTTAGTTTTGTAGATGTGGACGACAGCTACATGCGGAGACCAAACGACTGCCAAAGCAGAAGACAGCAACGTCTGTACCAAAATAAACTCATCATAGATACCAGGATTAAAATTGTGTACGCCGGACGAGCGATTCGTCTACAAAAGACTTATCACGATTGAGGACCTGAAATTCCGAAAGGTTTTGCCAAATGCAGCAATGGCAATCCACTCCTGGGGTAGAAAATCCTTATTATTTTGACAGTTTTTTGTAAATAGTTAATTTATAACTATGACCATATAAATGAACATTCATGTCAACACAAAAGTGTTGACTACTGGGCTGGTGGTACCAATCGAGAGTCACTTCGCAAGTATACAAATTATCCAGCTACCCATTTACTAAATAAAAACATACGTAAAGATAGAATCTTCTTCCAAACTTAGCGCAGCATCTAGATACCCGTAGATAGAGAGATAGTACATAGTTTTAATCTGTAAGTATTTGGAACATTCAAGTTATTTGTATATATCTGCTCGGGAGGCAGAAGTCTAATTCCACACCAGTTCGACAAAAACTTTCCAGTGGGAATCCTGTCATTAGTATGAAGAAGAAGATCGTGATGACTGCTTTTATCCAAAAATCTGGGTTATAAAATAAGGAGATGTGGCATGATTGCCAATGAGATAACTACTCACCAGAGACAGAATAACATTGGTGTGACCAACTGTGATATGTCACCATACAGCCTTCAAGAAGAAAACCAATACCGCATATAGAAAGCTATAAAAGGCCCGACATAACCTAATGTAAACCAATTCGAACGAGAAATGTATGTACAAAACAACAAACGAAAAACAAATATGACATACAGCAGCAAACGACAACCATTGAAGCACAAAACAACTAACAAAAACACTAAAGACACAATGTACTGATCTGAGAGTACTCGCAGATGTTGAAAGCTAGTTCCTAAGACTACAATAATAAGATGTTATTCGTTCCGTTGTTTGATATAGCCGAGTGCTTGATCTTGTCAGATTTTATGGACTTCCCACTTTTTGAATTTACCTTGGAGTTCGGTATTTTTGTTAATACTTTTTATAGTAGTCAAAGCTGGTTCCAAGCCAGTAACAACTGATAAAAATTTGTACGGGTTCCGCAGAACCCAGTGTCTCGCCTCCTTTTGCTGTTAGTCGCAGGCTCAACAAAAATGGGGAAAAAATTATTAAAAATTTTCCTCTAGATACTATCTTTTGATTGTAAGAAGTTTCTATCCAAGTTTGGTAAAAATCCAGGATGGTTTATGAATCTAATAACTGTTTGAAAAACTTTAACTGCAGACTGTATGTAATGTTAACTGGAAGAAAAACTAAGTCCATTTATAAGTTATATACGGAAAAACAGGAAATTTCCTTCTAGATACTAGCGTTTGATCATAAACAAGCTTCTGTCCAGTTTGGTACAAATCCAGGATAGTTTAAGAAAGTTATTAAAATTTTAAAAACTTTAACCACAGAGTGAATGTAATATTAACTGGCAGAAAAACTAAGTCCATTTATAAGTAAAATACGGATAAACAGGATTTTTTTTTCAAAATTTACTTCTGGATACTATCTTATGATCATAAACAAGCTTCTGTCCAAGTTTGGTAGTAATCCAGGATAGTTTAAGAAAGTTATTAAAATTTCAAAAACTATTTGTGGACGCCGCCGTCGCCGACGACGGAATGTAGGATCGCTATGTTTAATTCGCTTATGCGACAAAAGTCGCAGGCTCGACAAAAATCATGTATCCAAGCCAATCATGAAGTTTCTTTCAAACGATCTTTGATGTGTTGGTGTAATATATGATGGGATACCGGTAGCACATTATTTTAGGAATATGTTTGCCCGGGGCGCTGTCTGGACTATTTGCTGGTGTGTGTTGTTTTTTTTACATTTCCAGCCGACTCAGTCCGTTGATGGATTGGTCTGGTGTATTTTCATCGGCGAAAACAGATACAAATGAATGGTTAAATGCGTCTTTCTAACTTTTACTGAATGTCGACCATAGTGTTTAGGTTTGAACTTTTCCACATCATCTCTATTCTTTTCTTTTCTCTTCACCTATTGCCAAAACTTTTTTCTTTCTCTCTCTCCATCTGCTTCCTTAGTATTTGTGATATATTGTTTTGGTGTGCTTCTTCTGGTTTGGATTTTACTATCTTGTAAATTATTCCCAGTGCTTTTCATTGTTTGAACGATAAGTCTTGAAAAGTTGCTTTAAAAATGTGTAAATATTTAATTTATTATGTGTAAACAAGAAAATCACAAATATTGCTTTCATGGGAGAGGTTGGTCGTTATCCTCTTTTTCTAGAAACAGTATATGATATGTTGAAATACTGAAAATATTTAGAAAAAAGAGTGATATATTATTATCTGTATCTAATATATTCAATGTTCCAGAGAGACGAAAGATACCAAAGGGACATTCAAACTCATAAGTCGAAAATAAACTGACAACGCCATGGCTAAAAAAGAAAAAGACCAACAGACAAACAGACAAACAATAGTACACAAAACACAACATAGAAAACTAAAGACTGAGCAACACGAACCCCAACAAAAACTGAGGATGATCTCAGGTACTCCGGAAGGGTAATCAGATCCTGCTCCACATGTGGTACCCGTCGTGTTGCTCATATTATTACTGACAAACCCGGTAATAAGTCTAAATCGTAAGGTCGCATTCGGGGAAAAAGGGACGGGATTGTAGTTACGACATTTGGAACATATCCATATCATTTGTGAAACGGATATTCCATAACGGTCGTAAAATTTACGAAGGGATGATTTTAACTTCACCACTTGGAACTCTTGGTTTAAAAGCTTCCTTGTGAGCAGCAATCCTCTATCAAGGAAATTATGATAGAAAATACAAGCCCTGGAATATTGTATCAACTGGGAGATATATATTCCGTATGCAGGCGCTGCTGGAATGTTGCTACATAGAAATGGAAAGTTCACAATTGCCGGGAAGATGAAATCATCTCTTTTGTCGAAAAGTTTTTTTTTCAACCGACCCTCAATTTCTAGATGTAAGTCAAGATATGAGGTAGACTTAACTGTATCTGTTGTATCCTTTATCTCAAGTTCAATGGGATAGATGCGTTCAACATAGTCGCCAAATTTTGCACTATTTAGTGAGAGAACATCATCTATATAGCGGAAAGTAAAGTTAATGGATACTGCTAACTTCTTTTCTTTCATCCTAAGAAGTTCTTGTATGAAGTCAGCCTCATATGAATAAAGGAACAAGTCGGCAAGAAGAGGGGCACAGTTGGTTCCCAGTTGGTTTTTATTGCTGGTTTTAATTGAATGGTTTGATTATTTTGTGTGTGTGTGTTTTCTTAATTGTTTTAAAGAATCATTGTAATGATTGAATATAAATTTGATGTACTGATTTGTTCAGTTCAGCTTTGAGCGCTGTGATCAAGGATTTGTATAGTAAGACATACTATACAAATCCTTGCTGTGATTAGCAATACAACAATAATCTATTCTATTTTAGTCTATGATAATATTTTCTAATTCAACCCAGCATTCTTGTATGGTATTTGTTTTTCATTTCCGTATGAAATTGACCATCTCTTTGTCATTAAATTGTCTATTTTTGAATAGAAGAAACTGGTTTGACAATTAAAAAATGGGTCGAAATCGGAAAGGAAGTACCTATAATAACCGGTCCTGTATGTAATAACTCTTACTCATTTTTACGCTTTCAATTAGGGAAAAGCCATTCATTTTATAAACGTTAAATTAACATTGACTATATTTATTACCTCCCCTGTTTCTTTATCCTGCGTTAATATTTTCTGCTCAAAACACTTATTTGTTGCTAGATATGCCACTAGGAGCAAAACCAGTCTGTATTTCATGTGAGTGTAATGTTTCCACGCTGTGGAGGAGATCGGCTAGTGGCGATCCAATATGCAATGCTTGTTACATAAAGCAGAACGAAAGTGGCATTCAGTCGAATGAAATTCAGAATGGAACTTTAACAGGCATCAAATCCAATGGAAATGGTAATGGTCCAACACTCAGAAAGAGTTCTAGGATAAAGCCATCAAAACACAAGTTTATATCCGCAACAAGAGCTCTAGCTACAAAGGGAAGGAGTCGACGTGTTGTTTTCAAGAAAAGTGTAAGTAGTATAAAGTACGAATAAAGTAAAATAACAAAAAATTATACTGAACTCCAAGCAATGAAAATTCGAAAACGGAAAGTCCCTTATCAAATGACAAGCTCAAAAGCTCAAACACATCAAACAAATAGAAAACAACTGTCATATTCCTGACTTGATATATGTAAAATTGAGAATGGAAATGGGGAATGTGTCAAAGAGGCAACAACCCGACCATAGAGCAGACAACAGCTGAAGGCCACCAAGGGGTCTTCAATGCAGCGAGAAACTCCCGCACCATGAGGCATCCTTCAGCTGGCCCCTAAACAAATATGTATACTAGTTCAGTAGTTTATTTAAACTGGTTCTGTTTTAATCCTTTTTGAGGTCTCACTAATTAGCGACAAGAAGAATAAATTTAGTGACAAGAAGGGTCAAGAAGACTATCTAGTGACAAGAAACTTTAAAAAAATATTATTAGAATAAATATATTAACAAAAATATGCATTGACAGCAATAAAGAGATTTTCATTTTTTTTTATTATATTGATAGATGAAGAAATTAATGAGTCAAGATAACATTTGGAGGTTTGCCTGTGATCTGAACAATTTCTTTCAAAGAATTAATATTGATGACAGCTTGCATATATCATCAGCAATATTTTGTTTGTTTAATAGGATAGGTACATATGTATTCTGCTATTGCTTTATTCATGGTTTCAAGAGAATGGCCAGGCATTTTTTTCGAACGCTTAAGGATGAACAAATTAGAATCATGGTTGGAGTAAAGGACGTGTGTCCCTTATTGTATTGCTACAACAGTGAGCAACTGTTGAACACTCAACATTGTCTTTAATTACCTTTAATCTTCAGTCAACTTTAAACTATGCATAAACATCATACATATCGTTTGATAAGTCAATACCCAAATAAAATATTCACGTTTTAGTAACATTATCTTTTCTGGACACTGATTCACGTATAATGCATTTTGTTGTCGCTTCTTGTCGCTTAATTTATTCTTCTTGTCGCTTCTTGTCGCTAAAATTCTTCTTGTCGCTAATTAGTGAGACCGCCTTTTTGGAACCAAAAAAGTTAATCCTTTTTGGAACCCAAAAAAGGATTAATTTTCAATAGGATAAATTGTTAATCATCAATATTTGCATAGCAGTAAGAAGAAAGGGAGCTGCTGATGATTTTAGGACATTCTTTGATTCTTTCCAATTGATTGAATTGTAAACAATGCAGGACGTTTCTGCCATATTTTGTAAATGTGTTTTGGTAATGATTTTTATACACCTTAGCACTATTTGTCCGCCATTACTGGACATCACAATGGTTCCCATAAATTTTTTAAGTCATAATAGAAAATATCTGACACCACAATAAAAAAGTGATTGTTGTATGACGTCAATAGTTCAAGAGGCGCAGATTCTCAGGTCAAGCGGCGCAGATTTCCAAATAGCGATAAGGTCTATTATTATAAAGGGAGGAAAATAAAATAGTTTCTAGAAACAGATGTTAAGGTTCATCATAACAAATGGACAAAAATGGCTGTATTTCCACCTCAAAAACTACTCTGAGTACAGACTTACCTGTCCAGTTGGAAAAGTTTTAATGCCTGGCATCCACTAGATATATAAAAGTTAAATGCATTTTGTGTTTCAGAAAGATAAAATCTTTTTTGGATTTTGATGGTCATTTTTTTCCTTTCTGCAGAAGGTATAAAAATAAACTAAGTTGGGATAAAACTTTGAGATGCTCCCTCTCAGGTAACAACTTTATTGTATTGTATTGATTGTCCTTGATTGACATGGACAATAGATAGACAATAGGTATCTACACATCTATAGGTGAGTTAAAGGGTTTAACTGAGTGGACAGTATCAAAGCAATTCAGGTGTTTGTTTATTTTTACACCTTCTGCAGAAAGGAAAAAAAATGCCCATCAAAATCCAAAAGTGATTATATCTATGAAACAAAAAATGCATTTAACTTTTATATATCTAGTGGATGCCAGGCCTTAAAGCTTTACAAACTGGACAGGTAAGTCTGTACACAGAGTAGTTTTTGAGGTGTAAATACAGCCATTTTTGTTCATTTATTATGATGAACCTTAAGAACCAAATGGAAAATACATTTTAATCATACATTCATTTTCCTTGATAAAAATGTATCTCAATTTATGAATGTTACAACATGTACAAGAACATTCGTAAAACAGTCATGACAGTGCACATGATAATCAATAAAAAAAAAAATTTTAATGCACCAAAAAAAGACATGATACAAATGTAGTTATTTAAAAAATGAAAAAGATTGTTCAGAAAATATCAAAAAAGATATTTGTTATGACTGCCTATGAAACAACTTAAAAATAAGAGTCGCATCTCAACAGACTGCACAATATCTAACGTAAATCTGTTAAAATAGAATTAACACAGCAGATACATGTATGTTTACTTTTACAAATTGTGACTTGGATGGAGAGTTGTCTCATTGGCACTCATACTGAGAATGTTGAGCTCTCACTAGTGTATATTAAAGTAAAAACTGTCAGGCGACTTCTTATAGGGGTTATTGCCCTTAAATGACAAATTAAAAAAAAAATTCCCTATTATCTCTAAAATTATAATAAATAGAGAGAAACTTTAAACAGCAAAAATGATCAGCAAGACAAGATCTACAAATAAGTATGCATAGTGGAAATCGTCAGTTGACTCCTTATTAGAGGTATTGCCCTTTGAAGACGATTTTTACCATTTTTTTTGCGTTTTTGTCTTCCATCTTTTAAATTATAAAAAAGATAGAAACTTGAATAAGCAAAAATGATCAGCAAAACAAGATCTACAATTAAGACAATATGGAGGAAATCGTCTGATGACTCCTTATTGGAGTTGTTGTCCTTTAAAGATTTTTACCATTTTTTTTTTGTCTTATATGATTAAAATTATAATAGATAAATAGACACTTTAAATCACAAAAATGATCAGCAAGGCAAGATCTACTAATAAGTCAAATTTTTCCGATAAAGTTAGTAGACCTTCACTCTGTATATAGGAGTGATTGCCCTTAAATGAGGATTTTTTTACCCTCCATGTGTTTTGAGCAAAAGATAAAGAAGATAGAAACTAAACAGACTAAATGATCAGCAATACAAGATCAACAAAACAGATTTTTGTCATGAATTCTATTCTCGCCTACAATGTTGGAGAGTGCCCTTTGTTGAATATGCACATAGACCATGGTAAGCGACACAGGCTCTTTAGAGCCTCTAGTTTTATATATCAATACTGAATATTTGTTTTTACTTTTCAGCAACCACTCAAGGCGCCAACTGCAGTAGCCACAGTAGTAACTGGGGAAAGTGTTTTTCATGATGTAAGTTCATACTTCATACAATGTTTAAATATAGAGGACATAATGTAAATAAAATTGAGAATGGAAACGGGATATCTGTTTTATGTTAAATTTTATTGAATGAACTGGTGTCATATGACACCAGCTCATAATCGACACACATTTCTCTATTATAAAGTGCCCTTCATGCAATGTCAAGTTTGATTGCATGCATTTATAACTGCATTTTACTGAAAGCCTACAAAAAACAATTTTCAATAGGGAATTTTATATTGCACTATTTATTATTTCATTTCACAGAACCTTTTGAATGATTCATTTTATATTTTTGTAGAGTATATAATTATATACAGGCCTTATCCCCACACCCCCACCCCACCCCCTTTTGAAAGGAGTGGGTGTACAATGTATACCACATAAAGGGTTAAAGATGATTACAAGTGTCCATTTTGACCTCTGCTTTTGACAGATCATAAACAGTCAGAACTCAGACATAAATAAGTCCAATTTTGTTTTTGACTTGTAGAGGTGTAAACTTATATGGTTGTTGGGTTGTCTTCCTTTAATTATGTTTAAACAAAATACGACCCTAACAAGTTCAATGGCTCAGTGTTGTTTAATTTGGCTTGGTAACTTTTTCATGATAATTAATACTTAATGAAGTTCCATTAGTTGTACAAGTAAATCCAAACCTCATATATATGCTTTACATCAGTTATAAATGATATACTACAGGTTAAAATGCCAGATTCTGATTGACTAATACAAGGGAGAAAATGAATCAGCTGGAGACAATTTTTTGAAGGTCACCCTCTCGTGCAGACCAATAAAAATCTATAATTTAAAAAACAATGAATTAAATATACCAGTACATGATGAATAATGTTAAAGACAATGCTCAAGTTCTATGTTTCATTCTCAGGCCTTATTCATAGATTGACAACATCAAAAAATACATCCTGCTTCACTTTTGTTACTAATGACTTTAAACATTGTTATGTACACAAAGTCATAGTTTATTTCTTTGAATTCAGTATAATAAATCAAATAACAAATAGCTGAAAGGATGTTAGAGCAGATTGTTACCCCTAGGAGAAAAAAAAACACAGTGTCAACATTGGCTTTGGCTCACTTGACAATGTTTTCTTGGGGTAACAATCTGCTCTAACACCCTTTAACCTATGTGTCATTCATATAATAGGCTTGATGAAGTGTTTTCAGGTTGTTGAATATTTAAAAGGGCTTGTAATCAAGTTTCTGAAATTTTATGTGCTAGTCTGAAATGTTCCAATCCTGAAGAACAATAATTGATCCATTTAATTTTCGTTTGTGAGAGCTAATCCAGTTACCATATATTCAATGCTTCACTTTCAAATTTCAATTTCATATACTTGAACCTCTCCATGTCATTTTTTGTCAAGGAATTGTTGCAAAGCGGCAAAGCCAGAAGTAAAAAAATAATATCCGAGGATCGCTTATCCTATTATTGAAATCATGTACAAAACCTACATTCAATACAAACTATTAACATACTCCACATTTATCTTACAGGGAATGTATTACCAGGTTGGGGATGTAGTCTCCTTAGTAGACCACGACCTGTCTGTGTATTATGCCCAGATAAGAGGTTTTATGCAGGACCAGTATAATGAAAAGTCAGCTGTAATTTCATGGTTATTACCAACACAGAATAGTCAAGAAGGGAACTTTGATCCCACCACATATATAATGGGTACGTTTTTGGTCTTTATCTGAGATTGAAATACAGAGCTTCGGGTATGTTTTGTTATTCTAATTTACATTTATGTATGTAAGACAATCAGATTATTCTTTTCTTTGTAAGCTTAAGAATATAAAATTTTTAAACATTTGGTCATGGTATGATTGCCAACTATCCATGAAAGACAAAATAGATGTAATAAATACACATCTACCAGTTTGCTAATTTCCAGTGTTGACTTTCTTGTACATTAGTATGTGTACATGTAACTTTCTAATATTTAAAGATAACCATTTAGTCTGGTCTTTTACAAAAGTTCTTAGGGGTATATATGTACAAATGGAGGACTGCCGCCAGATTGCATAACCTACCTGTCAACAATGTTGCATCAACTGTATTGTACATACAAAATACTAGATTAATTTGACAGCTCTTTTTAAAAAGTTTGAAATTAATTGGACATTCATATTAAAGAACTGTAAAGGTTTGATGATAGTTTTAGGCCAACTACCTAAATAATGGATATGAATGGAAAGTTTGATGGTAGTTTTAGGCCAACTACTGGTACCTAAATTATGGATATGAGTGGAAAATTTGATGGTAGTTTTAGACCAACTATGTATACCTAAATAATGGATATGAGTGGAATGTTTGATGATTGTTTTAAGGGAACTACATGTACATAAAAAATGGATGCAAGTAGAAAGTTTGATGATAGTTTTAGGGAAACTTTTGAACACAACAGATTTTGATTTCTTTTGTACTATAGCAGGATTCTCAAAGTTTATCTGTATAACAGAGTCCCTGGAATATATAATTGTAATATATACTCAAGTTGGTCTTCACATAGAAAATGAAAGGAATTGCAATATACAGTTGATGATTATGTTAATTATGGATTGAATTCACATGTAACTTGAGAAAAATGTTATGACAACATGAAACAGATGTCCCCCCTTTTGTGAGAAAAATTTGGTTGATTATATAGGGAATCACTGAAGCATGACTAAGCGAGCCCCCTCTTATGGCAGTCAGTGGGCCCCCTTATGAAAATTTCTAGATCCGCCACTGGATTTAAACAAAATATTATTCATCAATATGCTCAGGACAATCATTGTTTATATAAAAAAAATATTCAAAAAAATTCTTGGCTGCGTTGAACAAAGTACAATTCTGGTGGATGTGTAGGGAGGGAAATATGTGTCCTATTTTATGCAATCTATTCCTTATACAATCTTCCAGCCAGAATCTCAAACTTTCTACAATGTTTAAAAATACATTGAAAATGTACACCTCACTTTTTAAGATGGTGATACTGGTAAATTTTTAACCGGATTTAAAAAAAAAAATCATTTATTGATTTGGGGACGTATGGCGGTTGCCAAACAGTGACCGTTCATTAACATGAAAACCCTTTGACGAAATCTTTTCAAATTTAGATATGTTGTTTCATGTGACTAAATGAAGGTCAATTTCAATTTTCACCATTTTAACTGTTCTCGTTGAGTTTTAGACCTTTCAGTAGTAAAATTTATTTTTATTATATGAATTTGAGTTATTTCCCTTTGAACAGAAATTAATAATTAATTTCTTTGTCACTTGGTCTCTTGTTTTTTTAATTTTGAGGCCTGTCTTCAAATTGGTCCACATTTAGGTCCAAAGGGTCCAAAATACCACTTTTTTTTATTTAAAAAAAAATTGAATTCTTGGTGCTCTTTGATCATGTTGATATGCTGAATCTGAGAGGTATTTAGATTTTTTATTATAATTTGAAAATAGATATAACATCATATCTAATTTTAGAGAACTATTTTTAGTGGTTAAATCATATCTAATTTTGGAGAACTATTTTTGCTGTTTACATCACTGGTTCATGGAAATAAGTTTGAGTTATTTCCCTTTGAACAGAAATGGTTAAGTATATGTATTTTAGTCTATTAATGATTGTCTCTGTTCAATTAGTTTTAGTCATTAGTTGTCAAAAATTTCTTTATAACTATTTTTTTAAGTCATGTGTGGATACCCATTTTGTATAACATGAACAAATGTACTACAGCAAGTCCCAAAAGCCTCCAAACTTTCTAGAATGTCTATAAAATATTGAAGATATGTGTTTTTGTCTGTTTTCAGCAGCATTCCCTATGGCTCACTTGTACCCAGTCTGCATAATAAATCCTATTTTTATCAAGAGCCTTTAAATTTCTAGAATGATTGAATTTACATTGAATATGTGCACCTTTTTGTTTTGTAAACATATTTCTGGAGATTTTTTTTTCAGATTTTCTAGATGGTAATTATGTTACATGGAATCTTTGCAATTTAAAAAAAACTACATATAATTTATTTGTCTATTTTTCCAATTTTAGGTCCAGAGGAGGATTTACCCAGAAGTATGGAATATATGGAGTTTGTATGTCATGCTCCATCAGAGTATTTCAAGTGTACAAGTGGACCTTATCCAACTGTATCACAGAAACCAGATTTATGTTATATATGGACAACAACAGAAAATCTTATAAAGCCGTTACAATCAATAGAAGAAGTATTCAATGTGAAGTCTATTAAAAAAGAAAAGCCAGCAGAAACTAAACCAACAAAAGTTAAAGAGAAAAAGGCAGAAAAGAAACATGTAGACAAAATGGAAGTGGATTCATGATGAAAATTGATTTTTAAGTTTCTATTTTATAAACTTGAAATAAATGGTAATGAGATGACAATCTGTTAATTCTGATACTATTTAAAGACTGTAAAATCATTGTGTTTAAACAAAAGAAAATAGTAGGTACTGTACTGTTTAAATACATCTGTTTTGTATTGCAGTAAAAACAATAAATGTGTTACTGATTTTTCTTGCCAATGTTCAATTAAATTTTAATTTTACCAAGAGCCATTTAAACAGATTTTAAAAGAAAATTAAAGTTAAGTAAAACTCAGATAAATCTTGAAAAATTCAATAGAAAACTGTTTTTACCTATGAAACCTATATGTATTCTTCAAACAGACCAATTCTGAGGAAATTCATTGAAAATATTTATATTGAACTTGCAAAACAATAGATTATACTGTAATGAATAAATACTGTAAATTCAGAAATTAATGCGAGGTTTTTATTTATGCGAATAATGCAACTTGGTGATCATCGCAATAATAAGAACTCACATTCTGTATCTGATACATATATCTGTATGCAGATTTTCATGAAATCGCAATAATTAATCTCGCATTTTTTTCTATTCTATGTAAATCGCAATAATAAATGCACGCAATAATTTCTGAATTTACAGTAGTCTTGAAAATTGTAAAATTTTTGTATTGTAACAGTGTTATTAAATATAGAGAAGACAAATTTAACTTGTAAAAAGTAATATTGTTTGAATGAAAGTAATTGTAAAATACTGAAGTTAAACTTATAAAGTCAGTAAAAACTTTATGTGTGAGAATCGTTTTGTGATTGAGCCATCAAAAATGATTGGCATATATCTTTTTTCTATAATGCCCTAAATATTGCATTTCATTTTCTTTGGGGATAGAATACTGATGTCAAGGGAAATAATAGCTATATTTTTGCCAAGAGTTACCAAGCTCTTTGATTCACCTTCAGGTATCCAATCAAGTGTAGGCACAAATTGCGGCAGGGGGTCTGGGTCTGGGGCCGCTGAAGGCCCCCAGCAGGTTCAGGGCAGAAAACAGTTTTCAGCATATTAGTTGCAGAATTTTGTGTACAAAAAATATTATATTTACTGGTTATTTTATCATGATAATATACATGAAGAAAAGTTCGAAGAATTATAAATAATTGGTGAATTAGAGCAGTACGATCGGAAATCTAAAAAAAAAAAATTTTTATTTCCAATATGCATTGTCCAGCGTAGATCAGCGTAGCCCTTTAATTAAGCAGTACATCCTATTTAGTATTTTCATATCTATTCCTTTCTGATTGAGGATAGTTGATATGTACGTTAATTGATAGTACATATAGACGATCCTTAATTAAAAGAATAGGCACGTAAACACTGAGATTACTATATATAATAATACTATCCTTTTGGGCTAGACATCGACCATCCATCTTTTGATTCTTAAACCTTCACCCGGCCACACAAACACATACACTCACACACAGTTGATGCCCAATGCAGAAGTTCGGTTCTGTTCATACTATCGTGACAAAATTCAAGAAATTCATATTTTCTGATATCCTCTACTGTAAAATCCCTACCTGCTAAGGAATAATTATGGCCATTACACGTAGATCTGAGTTTACTCGAAGTTACTGAAAGCTAGTTGATTGATTGATTGCTAACTTGACGTCCAGTGGCAAATAGTTATGCATGTTCAGGACAAAAACAAATTTACAATAAATACAGGTAGCCATTAGGTCCTGTAATAGGGGTTGTCCAGGAGGAAGGTATGAAAATTTGAAAATGCCATTAGAAAATTAGGAGATAACTGTATTGTATTTTAAGCTTGGCCTTCGTTAAATGTAGATTTTACTGTCGCAAATTGAGTTTACCTATCGACGCGTAGCGGAGCTACGTAAATGAGGGTTAATGGATAGGGACAGAAATTTTGCCTTTCAGCAGACCACCTATGAACCCCTCAAAGAGTTGTTGCGAGTATTCTTAACGTGCAAAGAGCGTGGCATTTTCTCTACACTAGCCATCGGAGTTAACATCCCCTTTCTGACCATACATACAATTCTACCCAATACTCCATTCACTAAGGATGATAGACGAGTGTACAAATTACATTTGATAATTAAAGAATTTTGACGACTTCACGTGCATCTAGAGATAACGTTGTCATTATCTTTTTTAATACAAAAAAAAAAATTCTGTGTAGGCACGTGCCTAAAGTGCCTAACGGCAGCTACGCCCCTGACCTTAGATTGCCATAAAAATTTCTGTATTGTTAGTAGTAAATGAAAGTCCTGAAAGGGAGCCAAAAACTTCAAATAATTTGAGTGTTGACGTGTTAATTTATTTTTAGAGTTAGGAAAAAGTGTTGTATCATCTGCTAGTTAACTTGTTCTATGTATTTTCCCACCCAAATTTATTTTTGGTTCCTTAAGAAGCCTTTTTATGCCCCTGCCGTAACGGAGGGAACATTAAGTTTTACCCTTGTCCGTCTGTACGTCCATTTGTCCATACGTCCCGAAATTGGTTTCCGTTCTCTAACTTTAGTTTGCCTCAACCAAATGTCATGAAACTTATACAAAATGCTTATTAGCACAAAACACAGATCAAGTTTGAATTTTGGTGGCATAACTTTAACTGTTCTAGAGTTATGCCCTTTACAAATGGAAAAAATGCTGAATTTTTCGTTTCCGTTCTCTAACTTTAGATTGCCTCAACCAATTGTTATGAAACTTATACACAATGCTTATTACCACAAATACAGATCAGGTTTGAATTTTGGTGGTGTCACTTTAACCGTTCTAGAGTTATGCCCCTTTACAAATGGAAAAATTGCTGAATTTTTCGTTTCCGTTCTCTAACTTAAGTTTGCCTCAACCAAATGTTATGAAACTTATACACAATACTAATTGCCACAAAACTCAGATCAAGTACAAATTTGGGTAGCGTCACTTTTACTGTTCTTCAGTTATAATTATGTCCCTTTATAACTTTATATGATATGCAAGCGGGGGCATCATCTGTGTCCCATGGACACATTCCCCATTTATTTTGTCTTATCTTATGAGCTTATACCTTTTATACAAGCAGATGTTCCTTAAAAAGGGTCCTTGAGTTGATAAATTAGGCTTGAATTCCATTCATTGCTTCCATCTCGATGGTCTCACAGTATTGTGCTCATCTCTAGTGAGGGGGTTGGTTTGATGTTAGTCTGGCTTAAACCAAAGAATTTAGAATTGGTATTGGCAGCTACTCTGCCAAGCATGCAACATTTAAGAATAAGAGCAAAGACTGGTCGTCAAAGATCGAGAATAAGGTGTAGAGGTAGGGTAACATGTCTTCCTGCAAACTGTTACTGTTTGAGCTAGCACCTTTAAGATCCAACCTTATATGTCACACTAGTTGCAAAGCAGAGTATCTCCATATTTCATTTACATATCATCATCTTTAAATTGCACATTACATTTGCCATAGACATTATTCAACATACAGCTATTATTATCTTTGTATATCAGTTTTTTTTTACCCATTTGAATTGTATTTATTTGCTAATTTTTTCTCATAATATTTCTTTTTTATGCCCCACCTAGGGGCATTATGTTTTTCGGTCTGTGTCCTTTTGTTCGTTTGTCAGTCCATTCATCCATCTGTCCCGCTTCAGGTTGAATTTTTTGGTCAAGGTCGTTTTTGATGAATTTGAAGTCCAATCAACTTGAAACTTAGTACACATGTTCCCTATGATATGATCTTTCAAATTTTATTGACAATTTAGAGTTTTGACCCCCAATATCACGGTCCACTGAACATAGAAAATGATAGTGCAAGTGGGGCAACTGTGTAATATGGACACATTCTTGTTTATAATCAGTATAGTTGATTAATTTGAAATTATCTCCCCTTCCTCAATTTTAAAATTTCCTTAACCTTTTCCTTGTTTATCTGCTTTTCTCAAGTCTTTAAAAAAAAAATGGTTTTCTTTTCTCTTTTCTCTTTTCTCTTTCCATTTCAATATGGTGTGTATTGGTAGTTTGTACGCTTACTTATACATTGTATATAATCCTTTTTATTCTGTTTCCAGTCATCTTGTTTTTTATGCCCCTGCCGTAGCGGAGGGGGCATTAAGTTTTACCCTTGTCCGTTTGTACGTCCATTTGTCCATACGTCCCGAAATTGGTTTCCGTTCTCTAACTTTAGTTTGCCTCAACCAAATGTTATGAAACTTATACACAATGCTTATCACCACAAAACACAGATCAAGTTTGAATTTGGGTGGCATCACTTTTACCTTTCTACAGTTATGCCCCTTTACAAATGGAAAAATTGCTGAATTTTCGTTTCCGATCTCTAACTTAAGTTTATCTCAACAAAATGTTATGAAACTTATACACAATGCTTATTATCTCAAAAAACAGATCTAGTTTGAATTTTGGTGGCATCACTTATACCTTTCTAGAGTTATGCCCCTTTACAAATGGAAAAATTGTTGAATTTTTCATTTCCGTTAAGTTTTACCCTTGTCCGTCTGTACGTCCATTTGTCCATACGTTCCAAATTGGTTTCCGTTCTCTAACTTAAGTTTGCCTCAACCAAATGTTATGAATCTTATACACAATGCTTATTACCATTAAACACAGATCAAGTTTGAATTTTGGTGGCATCACTTTTGCCTTTCTAGAGTTATGCTCTTTTACAAATGGAAAAATTGCTGAATTTTTCGTTTCTGTTCTCTAACTTAAGTTTGCCTAAACCAAATGTTATGAAACTTATACACAATGCTTATAACCACAAAATACAGATCAAGTACGAATGGAAAAATTGATGAATATATATATATATATATATATATATATATATATATATATATTTTATGCAAGTGGGTGCAACATCTGTGTCCCATGGACACATTCCCAATTTATTTTAGTATGGGGTCCTATTTTTACAATACTGTAAATTCAGTGTCAATTATTGCGAGGTTTTTATTAATGCGAATAATGCAACTAGGTGAGTATTGCAATAATTAGGACTCGCATTTGGATAACTAAAACATAAATCTGTATGTAGATTTTTCTGAAATTGCAATAATTAAACTCACATTCTTGTCCATTTTTTAATAATCGCAATAATAACTGCACAGTATTAAATTGTAGTTTCCCTAAAAAAACAATTTATTACATTATATGGGATAAAAACGAGTGCTCACGCTGAAATGTCTCGCCTGCTTTACTGGCCATTGATTTTATGTTGAATGATAGTCCTAGATATAAAGCTTAACTACAAGTACCACATGAACTTAACATGATCCAAGAAAATGAGGTCAAGGTCAGATGAACCATGCAAGACACGTGTACACCTTACAATCAATCTATGCATTCAATATAGTTGACCTATTGCTTATAGTATCTAAAAAACAAACTTAACCATGAAAACTTAACATTGACCAATGAACCATGAAAATGAGGTCAAGGTCAGATCATACCTGCCAGACAGACATATTCACCTTACAATCATTCCATACACCAAATATAGTTAATCTATTGCCTAAAGTATTTAAGAAACAAACTTAACCATGAAAACTTAACATTGACCAATCAACCATGAAAATGAGGTCAAGGTCAGAAGATACCTGCCAGACAGACATACACCTTACAATCATTCCATACACCAACTTTAGTTGACATATTGCATAGGATAAGAGAAACAGACCAAAACACAAAAACTTAACACTGAGCAATGAACCTTGAACATGAGGTCAAGGTAAAATAAAACCTGCCAGACTGACATGTTCATCGTAAAATATTTTCATA